CGGTAACCGATACGTTCCTAAACAAAATCACACCAAATTAATTTCTAAACCACTTCAGAATTAGTTTATTTAACAAGTGAGGGAAAACTCCACCTCTTTAAAAATGAATATGTATCTAAACTTTGTTACTTTGAAAAGTATTAGTCACGCTTACACGTACATATAAAAGTACGAGTAAAGTGTAAAAGTTTGTATGAATAATTTAAACGTTTTTCCAGACGTTTCTGATAGCTCTGGTAATACACCTGTTTAAGGTATATTATGTGGCTAAGTACACGTAAAAAAAGAATGCTCCTGCTTTCAGGTATTTCAAAGTTTAACAAAATTTTCATGTTTGAAATCTTCTAAATAATTCAACAACCATTCGCGTGTGTTTTGGGAAAGTTAGGCGAGATGATAAAGACTGTTAGTACTTGTAACTGTAATAATAAACTCCGTTTATTGTTTAAAACGTTGAAGTTAGTTAAAGTAAATGGGTATGACGGGCCTGGAGGTCGTGGGTTCGATTCCCACCCAGGACAAATATTGTGTGATGAGCACGGTCATTTGTTCTGTCTGGATGTAATTTATGTATAATATGTATGTATTTAAAAATATATAAGTATGTTTATCAGCAGTCTGGTTATTATAGTACAGGCTCTGCCTAGTTTGGGATCAGGCTGCCGAGTGTGAGATGTGTGAAGTTGTTATTATTATTATTATATTATCATATGAGAACAGAATAAAACTGGAAAATGAAATTTAAGGGTAGTATCCTTAGAGTAAATGTTAGGTTTAAAATTTAGCACTGTTGAAAACTAGACGAAAAAGAATTTTGGAAAGGATTGTAGTTTAGTCAAAAATAATTGGTCTTAAAATCATACTGCTCTTTATAGAAAACTAAAGGCAAAGTTAATGGGCATGCTACGAGCTTAGTTTACAATTTCATTTGTATTATGTGTAATAACAATCTTTTATAACCTCTATAGTCATATTTATTACCAGGAAGACTTGGAACGAGCTCAGAACCTGGCCTCCTCTGTTTGATAACCAATTTTCTATTTATGTTTAATAGCACAGGGCTCTACCGGAGCGATAATACGGTCTCAGAAAAAAACAATATTAAGCAAATCTTTGGTTGCATTTCACCAAGTGAGTGAGGACAGACCCTCCGCCCCTCTTTTTGCGGTGACACAGGAGATGCAGGAGTTCATGGACAGCGGTAAACACTTACCATCGAGTGACCAGTCTGCCACCATTACCATAAAATATACAGTCGAATTTTGACCACTCTCTAAATTAAAAATACCTCTGAAATTCAGAAAACGCTTCGCATCCATAGAAAACTTTCTTTGCCCGCATGCCATTATATGTTGTTATACTGTCCTCACTTTTATTACGTCATTTTACAGTACGCGCCGCAGGTTAATACGAGCAAAATAAAAAATGTTTGATCATAAGATCGCCATGCATGCTCTTATACTCGGCGAACAAATGTAGTTTGAATACAACTTAAAACTAAGCGGCTTATCGAAAGTTGTTCTGTGTAAGAGAATAAAGTTGTAAGCGTCGATAACGATAAAATATAGTTACTTACACAGGATTATCCTGCTTATCTCTTTTAGACATTAGCTACTTATGACATTTACTACCACTGACAATTCGTCTACTGATATATTTTGATTGCTTATTTTATAGAAGTAAGACAAGTCTGCTCATCGCATCTAAATAAACTTTATCGAGATGTCTTTGTGCTTTTCAAGATATTTTATAATATAATAACTTTACTTTTAACAATATCTGTCAATAAAATATTAACAACACTTGACATCTAGTACTCCGCGCATGTTTCTATAAAATGTTTTTGTTTTGAAGTTTTGAAGTTACAGAGATTTTCCAAGGCCAATATTTAATAAACCACACGGTGTTGCCGAGATAACACTTATGTCTGGAATAGACGGTACATTCGCTATTCCTCGGGTGTCCTTGTCGCCTTTCTTGAAAATCTTTAACTAGCAGCGCGATTTCTATAACAAAAGGTATAAAGAATTTCCTTTACGTATTAACAGATATATAGATAGTGTATGTAATAAACATATATGTGCAGTTTATGAGTTTGTAATACTCAAGTTACTAAGTGGCCTTGCGTTGATACCCCTTTTAAAAGATGCTAATACAATTTACATACGCAACCCAAGCGTTATATTTGTCTGAAGGAATGGTATGAATAATAAGGGATTTCGCAAGCTCTACTCTGGCTGCTTCAACCTAAAACTATGTATAGGTTACTCTATTGTAGACCCAAAGTATTAGGATTATTGACTTAAACATTTAACGAAATATGGATTTACTACATTTACCGTGTGGAAGACTCTTAATTAAATTAATATATGACACATAATAAGTGAGTGGTTCACTTAATATGTGTCATATACAAAAAAAAACTATTCATTATTAAATTTAAAATAAGAAATAGTCGCTTATTAAATGATAATTTGTAAAAGGATCAGTCATTTTTAGGTGGGTACAGTATGTTATAAGGTTGTTGGTACGGATTGGTACCCTTGGTCTTTTACGCTGATTGATTGGCTTAGCTTATTTCTACCTTATTATTATACTAAGATTAAATCACTACTAAGTAGTAAGCTAAACCATTTTATTTCCTATTGGTTACTAAAAGACTTCACTATTAACTTTAATAGCAAAGTAACGTTTAGCTTCTCTGTTAACAATTTTTCAAAAGTATAGCTCCTGTATTATATATTTTTTATTTTCGTCCTTAAGTAGTTATCACGTAGTTTTAGATTACTTTCTGTTATTGGATTTGCAAGGAAACCGTTATTATCATATTGGGCCATAATAATATCTATTTTTCAAAAGATCGCTCTGAAAACACTACTGTGCCATGTTTGAGCATGTGTGACCTTTACTGACAGGAACCAAACGTGAATGAAATTCTTTTTCGTAATGGAACTAAGTGAAACTATCCAATAATGACCAAGCTGCATATGAATGAATTTAGATTTAGAACTGCTAGAGTGTGTTTTTCTTATTTCGTGTTTCTAATTTAGATAATGCCGAACTTCTATAGAACCGTTCATCCCATATTTTAACCATTAGTGGTTAAATGTAATAAAATCCTTTCTTAGTTGCTTATGACTTAAAATGCATCAGCTCCCAAAATTTGTAGCCGTTCAGGTCCTATCATGATCAATATCTTATATAAAATGTAGTAAAGTATCTTTTATAAAATGTAGAATAATGAAAGTCTAAAAAAACTAATTAAAGCACTGGCTTAAAAATATAATAAGTATTGTATATTTCTATCCATCCTACACACTTTTTATCTAAGGTAGACCGGATCGGTTATAAGGGATTAAAGTATGAAATCGCTGATTTGTACAGAAAAAATTAACTCGATTTTTTCCAAGATGTAACATTTATTTAAATAAAATAATAATATACAAATGTATATTTAAATAAAATAATAAACGCTAATTATCTACACATTGCTGCCATGTAAACTGAAGTTTATTTATGCCTTAACGATACCACCATGATGCCAAACTGTGTGAAAGTATTTTGCACTGCCTCCTGGGAAGAATTTTTTTTATCACTTAGAATTTTTTTCAAATCACTAAAAAAATACCGTTGAGGCAAGGTCTGGCGAGTACGAAGGATTACGTATAGTTTCTCACTGCAGCTCCTTTAGAGTTACAACGGTTTCTCGGTCAGTGAGAGGTCTTGTGTTATTATGGAGCAATAATAGTGAAGATCGATTCACGGGTCCGGGCTGTTTCGAAGATTGTTCGAAGTTCGGCACTGTAAACATCTGCTGTTATTGCCTGACCAGACCCGAGAAAGCTATAGTGAATAACACCATGAAGAGACAAATAACAGTTACCATTTCCTTTTTATTGGTAAGCTTTGTTTTAGGGCACTGTTGCGGCGTTTGACGTGGGGTCAACCGTGATTGGGGCACATCCCAGGGTGACCAGGGTCATTTGCAGTAGCCACATAACCCCAAGATTGGGGAGTTACTGACCTCTGCTTCGTACAGCCCTGGATTTCGAGCCGTGCTTGCCATGCCCGCAGCGCCTGCGCGTTTCGCCGTAGCACGGATCATGATTATTCCGGGCTCTTGATCCGGCACGGCCTCTTCGCCATTCCGACCCACAGAGCAAACTTGGGGAAGGACCGTCGCCACCTTAAACGAAATCGTACGAGAGCCCCGTACGATCCATCGGTATGGCAGTCAACCGCTGCAGGCTTTGAGTAGAGCCTTGCAGCGGGAGGCACCCGCCTGGTCATTAGACCAGACGGGCGCCGATGCGTTCCTGGAGCTGCTCCCGACTGCCGAGGTAGGCCGCCGCGAGGTTTAGTCCGGCAGCAGTAGACCGGTTCTCCGGGAGTCCCACACACGTCCTCCGCTTCCCGAACGGAGGGTATGAAGCAAAAACATTCCCCGCGTTAAAAAAAAAAGGTAGAGTAACGTTGAACCATGCCGCTAATTTCTGGGTAGTTTGATTCGGATCGGGTTCCACCATCTCCTTCAATTCAGCGTTATTAACCTATGTGGGCGGTCTTCCACGTGGTTCATTCTTCAAGTTGAAGTTTCCATTACGAAACTATTTAAACCATATCTTAACTACCGAACATAAAATTTGGTTATATTCTTTCAAGTCAATTACCAATTAATAACGTAGTTGCGAGTATCGGCATTGTTTTAAACGTTTGCCACGAGTAATCTTTCTTTTCGAAGGTGCTACTTAGGTATTTTGAAGTGAATGTCTTTTTTTTCCTATTTTTCGACAATAATTTCATAAATATTGCTATGACAACATTTGTGTTATTTTCACGATATATCTACTGATTTAAAGTATTTTCTTTTTTTTATCTTAAACTATTATTCACCTCTAATTAAAGTATTTAATTGTAAGCTTCATTGTCAATGAGGCTTACAATTAAATACATTACTTAAATCTTTACGTAGTATATTTTAACGAGATTACTATTTGCAGAGTCACCGTGGATCCTCGCCTGCAATACGCACATTCGCGCCAGATGGGCGCACGCTCGAAGCAGGGACGAGCGCAATTCCACGTTCTCCTTCTCCACTCCGCGCTGCCTCGCTCGATGTTCGTGCAGCGCCACTTGCGCACGGGTCACTTGCTTCTCTAGCAGATACACCGACGCCTTCAAGTCCTCGGCACCCTCCACCACGATGTCTTTCACCGCTGTTGATGCCTCCAAGGTAAGAATATGTCTACTCCAAAATATTTTAGGGTTTGTTAATTAAAAATTTTGACACGTCTTCCCTAAAATTTAACCAATTTTAATGAGTTTAAACGAGAGACTTCGTTTCAGCGAATGTTCTTGAAAATTAATGAATGGTTTTTTTCGAGGAAGAGTCATGCACATAAGTGCTTGCTCGATCGAAGTGATACAGAAAGTGTCAAAGTAAACAGAGGCTTCCGAAGTCCAGTCCCCAAAAAACAGTGGCACTCCGGAAGTGTCGACAGAAGTGAAACAATTCTTTTAATTGTCAGGGAGGCAATATATGTAGATACTTATATACAGAGGTGTCGGTAACGGTAACAGTGTCGCGAGTTCAATGGTTTTTTCCCATCTCAAAGATGTGTTTTTGTTAAACCATAAAAAATGCCCAGCGCCCTAAAGAAGATTTCATTTCAAAATTCTGGAAAGAACACCAAAATGTCGACAATGCACTTGTGTCTACTAAGTTACATGTGCCACTTACCTTACTTATTATGTGGTTAAGGGTACAAACAAGCAGTCGGGTCACCTGACTGCTTGTTTGTTTATTTACCCTTAACCACAAAATAAAATTGTATCACAGTTTGTAATTAATTCAACAAAATTACTTAAAATGACTGCTATTATCATTTCTACTAATAAATAAAAATAAACTAACAATAATGAACTAGATGATAAGTGGTAGTACTTATACGGCTTACATAGCCGACTATGCAAAGAATTCTATTTCCAGACATTATCAGTCAGCCAACTTCCCAAAACAAATTACTATGAAACACTTCGATAAGTTGAAAATCAAAGCCCTTCCTTTTGTTTTCCTTTAATTAAAAGCTTTCGTTACCATCCTCTTCAAACGTAAATCAGAAGTTTATTCCGAATTATTTATATTCTAGATTTAGTGTGGTCTAGATTCTCTAAAGCGTATCATTTCAATGTCATCTCACTTAAGACAAACTATTGATCGAGTTTCAAACTTGAAATTATCAACTAAAATTATATTGTGAAGTTATATTGGAAAGAGGAAAGTTTATAATAGACCGTGAGTCTCCATGGGCTAATTATTAGAGTATGTAATTTATGTCCCTGTAGAGGGAGAATTAACAAGACTTAAAAGTGTTAATAACTATTTAAATTAGGTTTCTCCATGAAAATTTGGAAGGTTGTAAGTTTTAACTCACTCATACATTTATGAATCTTCATATTTTAGAACTCAAAAACTATACCAGTGACAAAATAGGAATTGGACAAAAATCAAGAGCTTCAAATGCTTCACGTTATAAAATAAAAGGCGGGTTGGTTACACCATCTATAATTCAGAACCGTTGGACCAGTTTTTATGATATTTGATTTCTGGGATTTGTCTTCGCCCCGAGTAGCAAAATACTATCTTAAATATTTTAAAACTTTACCAAAAAAACATACGAAAAAATTCATTTCCTTAAATATATATATTGTGTATGAAACCTCACACGGATGACGAGCAGCGTAGCTATGCTCTTCGTCCATCTAAAATTAAATAGGCAGCTGATGCTGCAAGAAACTACTTGTTTCATATAATTCATTAGCCTTCCTTCTATATTATATGAAGAACATTACAAATATGCTTTTTATATCCGTGTGATCTTCACTACATTATTTGTTCTTTATAAGTGTCAGCATCCAATGGTTGGTATTTTTTTTTTTATGTTAGAAGGGGCAGACGAGCAGACGGGTCACCTGATGGAAAGTGAGCATCGCCGCCCATGAACGTCTGCAACTCAGGAGTCACAAATGCGTTGCCAGCCTTTTAGGAAGGAGTACGCTCTTTTCTTGATGGTTTGAAGGTTGTATCGGTTTGAAGGTTAATCTTATATACTTTCACTGTAGTCTACTATTCTCTATCTACTACTCTACTCTAGTCACTACTGTGAATTTTACACATACATACCTAAAATTAATATTGTGTCATCCCACAGAAATGAGAACCTACAAAAACACTAGGCAAATTCAAACCATTACGAGTATTATACTCGTTATAAATTAAATCAAAAATATATTACCTGTAATGTACGTATTTTGATTAAATTGGCTGTGGGTTTTAGGAATATTATAAATGCGATCTCCGTCCTGACTAAAACGGGAAACAAAGGAGCACCAATATGTCAAAGAATACATACACACTCCGTATATGCATAAAAATATAGATAGATAACTCTTTATTGTACAAGAAGAAAGAACATAATTATAGAACAGTTGGTATTCATTTTTATGAATCTTATGATCTAGGGCTTGTTACACAAAGAAAGTAAAACTAGTTATATAAAAAAAAGTATCTAGTTATTTAAAAAAGAAATTGTAACCTGGGATAACCCTCCTTCGGCACTTATTGGCCGACTCGGCCGACTCGGCTAGTATGTTAAGCATTTTTTTTCGTTGCATTTCGCCGAGTGAGTAAGGTAACTAGAGCAAAGTCAAGGGGGAGACCTCAAAGGCCGGTAACGAAACGTTACCAGGTCCGTTGTCAAGGTCCACGTTACTCTCGCGTTGCAGGTGTCCATGGGCGGCGATACTCACTTATCATCAGGTAACTCGTCTGCTCGTTTGCTCCCTGTACCTTGAAACAGATTTACTGAAACAATAAACCCATTACATTAAAATTACTTGGTGAACCATGTTTGATTCTAATCACATATATACTTCACACAAGTTGCCAAATGAGCTGTATATTTATTTTTTTATGAAACAAAATCATAGAACAGAGGCTATTAAGCCAACGTAAGTGCAACAAGTTTAGTTTTAGAGTTACCACGACCTTTAAGAAATAGAGAGCTTCAGTAATTCAACAAGCCTTTGGAAAGAAGTAGAAAAAGTGTTTTTTTTTATATTGCGGCGCTCTTATTATTTGGCTTGCACTGCAAACGCCAAATGGGGGGTCTTGCACTGCCTGTGTGGTGCCGGATAAAGAATACAGAGTGTCACCACTCCTATTCATCCCGTAGGTGTCGTAAGAGGTGACTAAGGAAGCAAACTACGCTGGACAACAGAAACACTGCAGAGAGAAGGAAAACTTGAAACAAACTCTATACCAACCCGTCTGGCCAGCGTGGTATAGTAGGCCAAAACCTCCTTCCTAAGGAGAGGCCTATGTCCAGCAGTGGACTAGTAAAGGCTGTTGATGCTCTTGTTATTTATTACATTTTATCGCGATCTCGTACTATCATAAATCTAGTATATATGATTGCATGTGCTGAATACCACAAAACTTCATATATCTAGGCCCTGCAAAAATATAAGTACAGTCTTGTCTTAATTCGTAGCTCCTCTACTCACCTCAAATATTTGCACCATAACATATAGATGGAAAAAAAATTTACTTTTAATACTTTAAATAATACCACTCGCATAAGAAAACCCACAAAAGATATAAAAATATAAATATGTCTTCAAATTGAGTTGGAAAGGTACAAAAAAAAAGGTTTCGACAGAATACATTATTTAATACGAGTATATCTACGTATTTACTCATTCTGTTCTATTATAACTAACGAAATGTATCAAGTATATTGCCACCAGTGGTGAACCACTGCCGTAAAAGATAAAAATGATGAATGGCCCTCTCGAGTCTATTTCCAATTCCATCCAATATGCAGTTATTGAAAACATACCTGTACGCAAACTATAAAGTAAAAACTCTTTCATGATTGATGTATTTTCATTAAATTGTTAGCTCAAGGGAGTTTTACTCATTTTAATGTTTTCACTCTGACCATAGTACATTCTGAGGCTGTAGTCCTAAAAAATGCAATTAAATCGTTTGTATTAGGTACTTAATGTGCTTAAAAATCTCTCAAGTTAGATGTTATATACTTCTTTATACAATCATATGATTGTATTTTAATCAGTTTTTTGGTATCACTATATAAATAAAGGAGTATCTACTCATTTATTAATAGCTATTTAAAGGCAACGCACATATGTCTTCTAGATTATGCGTCCATAGACTAAAGTAACCGCTTAACATCAGGCGGGCCGTAAGCTTAACGCTTAATAAAAAATATACTCGTAGTCTAAGAGACAGATGATTGACCACAGAGATGAACATTATCATTCTCCACGCAAAGAGAACTACGAATAACATCTCGCAATATTTCAGAAAATGTAATTCAAAACATTCTGACACATAAAATCAAGACTAAGTATAATGAAAACCCCTTTAAATATATAACGAAGATATAAATCACACAGTGCTATACACGAGTGCGGCCGAGACACACATCACGTATTAAATTATTCTGAGTTCGCACTTACTTCATCAATAATTTAGAAATTATCAACGATATACGCTAGGCTCACCTTTTAACCTTTACATATTCCGACTAAAAGCTTTCTCACAACACTTCGGATCAGGAATCACGACCGCCCTTTTTGTACTGAATACTGACATTCAGTTTTCCATTTCTGTGCTGAAAATGCTGATTGGAGGTTTAGTATTCAAGCTTCAAGTTCAAGATATTATTTTTTGTAGTAACTTTAAGTTGCTATTTTACGACAAAAGTTGTCTTAATTTATTTCATTATTTTTTGTTGACATGTTTTAGTGTTATTGTAAATTGCAGTCCATTGTTTGAACTTGAAAACGAAGTCTCAGTTTCAATGGTGTTGTAAGGTCACTGTTTGGATATTTTCGTACATGATTCACAGCAGTCAAAGTTAGTCTAGAATTATCTAAACATACATGTTCACTTCACTTTCCCTGAGCGACTGATTCATCGAAATAGAGCCTAACCCGCTGGCGCTACAAACTTTAAATTTTGGCAGCTGATGCTTTTTACATTGAAACTCACTTAGAAAGGATTGGCAATTTCACTTCTAAAGAAGTATAATGACGGATGAACGGTTGTGTGGAAGTTCGTCATTTTCAAAAATAGAATCAAGTAATAAGAAATAATCTCGCGAACAAAGCCGCACGCGCTTTTAACTTTTATGAGCCTCCTTTACA